GGAGCTCAATCGGTATACATAGTAGAATAGAGCGCACGACGCTTTCACTAGCGATGTCTAGTTGGCGATCGCACTACCACGCCACCGCTGACCACACAACAAATTCTTGAGCGAAGTGATTACACCTAACCTTAAATTAGTCCTCACGGAGGATCTAATACGACGGATTCAAAATGTTACCATAGGGATTTTTTGCGACTGTTGGTCTATAACGCAACTACAAATCCAGAGGTATGATGAGAACACTGTTTGGAATTCAGTCTAAACTGCTCACTGCATATCAAAATTAACTTCGAATCTGACAAAAGGAAGATACAGTGTTGCAGAAGTGATTCGCTGGGCTGCTGATAAAATTGAAACCTGACGATTACGGGTAGTGAAAGACCACAGTGAATAGAAAGGTCTGTCATAGTTGTGGAAGGAGCGAAACCAGGAAAAGCACATACGATAGTACCGTCTTGCACGTTTACCAATAACCCACCCACTCTTGTCCTTCAGGAGGAAGCGGTACGGACGAGGTCGATCAAGAAGTACTGACTCGTGATGCAATCAAACAACGCTCCAGGATGATCGTCGAAAACGCCAAGAGGAAGACAACACGGAATACCAACCGGAAGCAGTTCAATCTGTCCATTTAACAATCTCAGGATATCTGATTTTGTCATAATGCAATTTATTAAATGATACATCCGCCCTTTTCAAATTGATTCCAAAATGAACAAGAACTAATTTCACGTGTAGCGAGGAACAGCTGAGGCACGGTTCATGAAGGTGGATTAAAGTGCGCCTCTCTACCAACATTTTCTTTGAAAAGTACACTGATGGGTTTGAAAAAAATACACAACCATGAACTACGACAAGCGAATTGGGGAAAACAGTTTTAAAATTGGCTAAACTCTGATGGAAAAAATTATGAAGTATTTGCACCTAGCCAACGGAGGATCGATAGCACGAAACGCGGTTGCTCAAGAAAAGTTTATCGCTTTACCACAGAAAGCCGACAGACAAGCTTCTCGGAGTGCTTCCGAAAGGGTCTGAAAAAGAGGGCGGAAATAGTACAAGCATAAAACGAGGCCACTACACAAATGAAATTACCACAGTCAAAACCCAGAACTACTACAATACGTAGCGAAATCAGAAGGCTATGAACTGTGTAAGCAAGAGCTTTGAAAGGAGACAGTTCTGAAGACACTAGTATTACCGATGGCACACAGACGTAGCAACATAATCACTAAACTTATAAGGCAATCGGTTCAATCTGTTGTTCACTCGGCAATAATACAAAAAAGTGTCATAAATTCAATCGTTCACGACTTGTTAAATGGACTGGGAATGATCAACCACTGGTAGAGAAGGAAACAATTGACTGCTTTTGAAGGGACGACATCAAATGACCATTCAAGGACCACCTAAAGTTGGCCTCTCCAGAGAGATAATAATTGTACAAACTGCGAATCGAGTAATACCATAGATCCTTTTAGGACGACTGACCGGAGTCATTCAATTCTTTGGCTGTAAGTCGTTCCTTAGGGCCGCCAGTTACTGAACGCATCTCTTGCAATCGAAAAGGCACCCGAAGTTGAAGAGTATTTTCCCTAGCTTGTGTCGGTTTGCTTCATGAGGCTCAAAGGCCAGAATCAATATGCCAACATGCAACACTTGTTTTCATCAGTAAGCTTCATCGGTTGATAACGTACAAACACATTGAATATTGTGTTCTACGGTAGCTAAACAAGGTCTTGGAGGGCACAAGATATCTGAGATCTCACAGTAATAGCTGGTATTGGTAATATCGATCGTTTCACAACGACAAAGAATCCATAAACTGTGGTGGCTTGTTATATCTGCTGATTCGCCAATTTGTGGTATCTGCTGCTGACCTGCTCCAGTGCCCACTGCCGGGAACAAAGACTTACGGAAGGGAACATAACAGATATATTTTAAACAAGCGAGTGAGAGAGCCCCACGGGACTTTCTGACATTGATCCAGGCTGTTTGATAGGCATTAGTGAACACCCGTCAACATCGATCGTGCCTTTATGAAACATCTGAAAGCTGATAACATTCGGCCGTGCTTCTGTGTGTGACCTGAAGACTCTTCGGATTTTGCTGAATTGATTGAATGATTGACTGGCCTGGATGCTTTCAGGCTTTCCTATTGAGATTTTGGTGAAGTTTTAGGGTCCCAGTAGGTTCCGGGTGTTCTGAGGTTACTTTTAGGAATCCGACCTTTCTAGTATGCTGTATACTACGTATGCAGTATACGTGTGCGTATTTCAAGTACGTATTTCAAGTCTGCCGCGAGGAGTGTTCTCCTCTGCCAAAAGCAATACCGCAAACAACGAAAAAAGTGACTATAGCCTAGGAGGTCGGTGTGTAAATAAAGGCGAATGACCTAACGTCTGAAAAATCCTGTAATTTTTTTTAGATACAACCCAAGACTAAAGAGACGTTCGCGTCACTAATTTCTATCCAGATTGTCTGGTCGAGTGTATGGAGGCGTCAAATAATAGAACGATTATGGTAGACTAGCATTGGACATCTTTCCATATTTTCAGAACGGAGCTCTCCTTATGGCTGTAACGTGGAGTCAACGGTTTCCAACATCAGCGTTACTCTCAACTATGATCATACTGCACTGAAAACTAAACCAAGTTGACGGACCTGCGGGAGAAGTAGACCGTAGGAGGAGAGGAGTTACATTCTTTGCAGATGTATCGTCAAAAAAACGGAATTGACGAATAAATCGTTAATCAGAAGAAGAGCCACCAAACCCCATTGTCAGGCATTTGAGCGGAATCTTACATTCAAACTGATCTAATGCACAAAGCCGTGTGGAGCGAATGCGCTTAACTCGCACGTGATCGGTCCGGCATGGGAGATTTTTACGACTGGTTGAAAATATGAATCCAACGGCCGATTTAATCTCAGTGTCTACTAAATGTCACGTGCCAGTGGTGCGTCCAAAAGACATCTGAATCTCTAGAATGTTGCGCTCGCGTGCAATTTAAAAACGATATGCTGTACGAGGTTTTTTCATTTATTTGGGCATTCAATGAGGCCCAGTGTAATTTCGGTGGTTGCTCTGGTGAGACTCAACATGGGACGAAATTTCGCGAGCCAAAAGACAATTAACCGTTTGGTGCATATGGATTAGAATAAGCCAAAGTCAACGTCACGGGTAACGGATTTCGTAACGATGCAAGCACCGCCTCTATAGCTGATCATATGATGATTTTTGTGAGGAGGGCCGTGTCAATAAACCTGAAAATTGTTTACGGTGCACAACAAAACGTCATTCTATCGAGTATGGGAATCAGATCTTTGTCTCTCCCTGTGAGCAGGTGAGCTGGGTATGCATCTACGATTATGGTGGCCCGTAAATTGTCTATAAGAAAACGCTAATCAGTTTCAGCTTTGACATTAATTTTGAACAGAGTTAGGCGTGAGCTGGCGACCGGAAGGTCTCCGGTTCGAACCCAACTTTGGTTTTTTGATGGAAAGGTTTAACTCCTCGTTTCTTCTCGAGTTGTGCAGGAAGCATGCATTAAAAGCATGACACAGCTGGGTTGACTAATTTTCAGCAAATTGACAGAATGACGATCGGTGAAGCAATCTTGCAATCACATGTTCGTTCGGACGAATAGATGCCTGTAGCAACAGATAGATGCTGAGATAAATTTCCCTGTGTGAAACAGCATCCCACACAGATTCACCCAAGAACTGCAGTTAAATCCCTACGCTGTCGGCAGTAAGATAGTGAAAAGAACTCATCGAATGTCATGGGAATAAACAACGCTGATAGTGGACAGGGTAGGATATATCTCAGAATAATAGTCGTATAGACGTAACACACTACTCAAGGCTACTGGAAACCTCGACCGGTTTCGCCCTTCTTGTGGCTGGTCAGGTAGGCACAGTCCTCGAGTTTTCGTCCCCCACGTTTTACCTGGACCAAAATTGCACGAAATTCGACCTATACACTCATCTGCACACAAAGTGGTTTTGACGAGAGACTCATTTGGAACTTAGCTGAAGCTGTCGTTTTTTAAACAAGTTCTTCAGCTGTCCAAGAGCTTTCAGCAACATTGTGAGTAGTGCGTCACGCCTGTACTAAGTACTTCGATATCTCGAATGCCGTGCCAGCTGAAACGTGAGGCGGCCTGGTTAAGCACATTCAGTCGCTTGAGAACATACTGGAAAACGAGATATTCGGCTGGGTTCCAGGTCAGTCTCCCATTAAAATAACAATCCTTCGGCCATAACACTCNATCGATGTCAGCCACCTCAAGGAAGCATGGGGGCTGAGATACTGCCGAATTGTCCAGGTCTACACAGGAGCAGTCATGATGCTGAGATTGCGTTCGAACTAGAAATTTTCCAAACAGTAAGGTCACACCCTAACCAGTGAACGCTGAGGCACCGCCGGAAATCACAGGATTTCTAAAGCAATGAGAAACAGCTATATCTTCAAATGCCGCAAATAAAAACGCACAAAATGCAGAAGGGAATCTGAGTGGACGTGAAAACTAGCTGTTGAATCCGACAACCATAGACGAGACATTAAGGTGGATTCGGTCTTTTACCAAAACCACATTCGTATGTAAATGCGTGTGTCGAAATCTCTGCAGTTTGAGTTCAAGTAAAACATAAGGTTGACGGGAAATCGTGGACTGCGCCTACCTAATGAGTCCCAAGAAGGATGAAGCCGATCGTGGGATGTTTGAGAGTTTTCAGCAAACTTATGAGCGAGATGTGGTTAGGGTGCGGATTTAGTGGCCACAAGGTCCGTGGTTCGAACCCGACCTATGCCTCTCGACTCCCCCTTCTAGGCTTGGGGAACCTGGCAGTAACCCAGTCCTCGTGTTTTCTTTGGGTGGCATGGCAGCTAGGCACCTAAAGGGTGTTACAACTGAATGATCATTATTATTTTATGGGCAGTGTGTTAAGTCACAAAAACTAGTTGTCCCCTTTTCAGTATGGGTAGTCAGCGGACGCCAAACCCATTGGACGTGTTAACTCGTTCGCCTGTTGGCGAATAAGTACTTAAAAT